GTTTTGTACATTTTTGATGTTACATTTTTGTTTCTGTGACCTCAAAGGACCACTGAATAGCTGTAACCAACCCTGTGATGGGGCTGGTTGGAACAACATGACATGACTTCAATCATGAAACACATTTTAGAAAAGCTTTGTGTACATTCAAACTTATTTATTTATAGCTGAAACCTTATACTTACCTCTCATACTTTAAAATATTTTACCTTAACCTTTGATGTTGTTTTGCACTTAATTCTGTTCTCCACTTGTTGTGGCCTAGATGGTGTGTTTAGACTGGTTTAGACTCTTACAAAGTAAATAATAACAAAGTAAAACAGGAAAATGTGATCTAGCCAGAAAGTTGATCATAGCTTAAAGTTGGAATGCCAAAACTCACATACCATCTCAGGGTACAGATATGCAGTTGCTTTTCTGGGATAAAAAGATCCCTGAAATGAACATGTACATGACGCAAGACATGACTTTTAACCCTGGTAACTGTTTATTATGCATTTTTCAGCAAAGTAGATTATATTCTATTTATTCATGATGTATCTGCCAGCAACTGAGAGGGCCACGCCTTTAGATGTAATACACTTGATCAATATAAAACTTTTGAACAAGTAGGCCGAAGGATTAAAATAGGAGATTTAGAATGGGAGGAGTAAAATCTTTGACACTAGTGTAGCATGTCTAATTTATTAATTTAAATAAATTTATGAGAATTATTACCCAATTATGAATTTTAATATTCAAAAAATATTAATCCATAAAAAAGCTCTCGTTTCGAAAGGGGCACCACCGGAGTTGTTATTAACCTAGAGTCTCCGGACCTCTAGGTAGCTTTTAATAATTATACAATTATTCACCAGTGATCAGTTAGGTAATAATCGCTCAATTATCTTAAATCAATCAGTCAGTCTCATATCTAAAGGGTAAATTCTCTTGGCAGGGACTCAGAAGTAGGCAATACACACAATTCCTTGGTTACAGTGAATTTATTAACTAACTAAGCTGATATAAAAAGGTGGTTAATTACATCAGAGAAATAAACAATGGCTGAACAATGAGAAATGGAGGTTCGATTGTGGGAAGCATTTGACTCATACGGCAGAGGAGAACTAATGAAAGTAAAGTGAAGTGAAAGTGTTTAGGAGTTAAAAAGACACTATTAACACTATGGGACATCCCTGACCACAGAATGCTTTGTTTTGGTCTTACTGCTTGTCTGCGGCCTGCTTTGGCCTGTTGCACGGGTCCCACGCTAGCTGCCCGATCCTGGCTTTTTGCTAGGGGATTCTCCAAGGTTCTCCGTGTCTGATTGAAGAAAAACCCTCAAGGGTTGGCCTGTTGCACGTCTGGCAATTCCTTCGTTGCTGCTGGCGAGACCACGTGGCTGGGTCTGACCTCGGTGAAGTTGGCTCGCCGGGCGCGTGCCGAAGCGTCCAGAGAGCAGAGCGAACGACGTTGTGTGTCGCTCTTTTGTTGTCTGGGGCGTGGTTCCCCAGTGGGCAGTCCTTCAGTTCCCGCAGGGCAGGCCGTTTCCGCTTTCCCGAGGGACTGTCTTTTTAAACTTTTCATATGTCTATAAAAAGGAGAAAAATTTATATTCTATATTATCTATTATAATCAAATATTTTCCAGAATCAAACCTCACTGGTCAAACGGTTGTACCGTTCTAAGTTTAAGCATTAGGTAACAGGAAAACAATTGTCAAATTATTGGTCATGATAAATAATGTATATAATGTAATATACATTGACGGCATGTCCGACGATGGTATGTAATACTTATTTCGTCCACTTGGGGGAGCTCAGGTTACATGAGGAAAGCTTAGATTAATCCAAAAACAATCTTCTTGGGAAAATTTAGTTATTTAGCCTTCAATTCAAGCTGGCAATTAATAGCGTGTAGCATGACATTTAACATCATTTCTAAAGGAATTGTGTGTGATTTCTCTCCCTCTGCCTAGGCCAATAATAGCCTATTTAGTCTGTGTGGATTAGTGGTTGTAATACATTTCCTGAGTGACAAATTAATTAAAATTATGACAATTTCAGTTAAAAGCAGTGATAGGCTATTTTCAGTCGTTCCACCATTGTCTGCCACGCTTTTTCTCGCCGATTTATTACCACAGTGTTTCTTACTTTTTTTTTTTTAATTATGGGCTTTTATTCCTCGTAAACCTACTTTATTACTTTATTTATTACTTTGGTTTCTCACTATTTTTAAAATGCTGCACACGTCTCTTCCATTTCAGCATCAATAAGTCTGTGATCGACCGTGTAGTCTCTTGAAGAATGCTGTTGACGCGTATTATACTTGACATAGTCGCTCCTCCTCAGCCTGGTTTGGGCTTTGTGAAACGGATAAAGCCAGGTTGCACTGAACCCTCGACCACACTAGGTCAAGCCTCGCTTTTCTCTTTATCCTGGATTTCTAAATTCTGCTTTTCTGAAACAGCCTCTTACTCAAATGTAGCACCCGGTGGAAAGGCGAAAAGCCAGCAGATCAACTTAATCCTGAGCCACGCCTACTCAGCTTTCCACCTACTCCCAAGAAACCCTGTTAGCGCTAAGTTGCTGGGTGCTTCCAACTTAAAGAAGCTGCTGCAGTCCAAACGATACCACCGTTAGGACTAGAACGAACTTTAGGTCAGCTGGCATACACTGTACGCACCAAGCTAACCGGTTGTAGAGAAACCTTCATCACCCTGCGGCCTGCTGAAAGCGAGAGGAGCGGAGACAGCCGACTCGAGCTGAAGTGGCCACGTGGGATAGGCAATACCCGAAAGCGCCCGAGCTCCTGTGCGCTCCACCAGAAACACATCAGCTAACCAAAATTGTCCGTGTCCGAAGGACAGAACCTAAGGAGTGAACACATCCCAACATGCCTCAGAGCGCCCCACAGAGAAACGGCACTGCTCTGCTCCTCTGTCCCCCTCTAGGGCAACTTCTCCCCTGGTCCACTAAAACTCAGGTGACGCATAATACGTTTCCTGTAATATTGAGGTTGATGCTACTAATGACTAGTGTTAGGGCAGGAGGATTATCTCTCTTTAACAGGGGCAGAGGCAGAAAGATTAGGGGCTTAGCCCAAACCAAGGGGGGTTCAGGGGCATGCTCCACCAGGGAGTCACAATCTAAACATAGGACCCTGGATTTTATTTCAAGACAACTGTGGGAATATCACTAAATCCCACTTCTGTGAAAACTTGCATATTAAATAGGTTGTTCTGTATGGCCATAAATACATGACACGTTACTTTAAGAGTGCTAAGTATGAAGGATCAAACATGAGAAACAAGAGTCACCCAAAAACCTAATGCTTGCGTAAAAAAATGTATTGTGTAAGGTGGATGGTAGTACATGGAAAAGGAATGTTGAATAAGGATGGTTAAGTTGATTTGTGTGTTTTTTGGTCTTGTCTCAGCCTCAAAACACTCGTCTTGGTCATGAATTTGTCTCGGTTTGGGTGGTCTTGACTACAACCCTGTACATAACACGGGTAGGGTAGGAGTTTAAAGTTAACAGCGTACTAATCTTATATTGTGCAGGAGTAGAGTTCACAGAATTAAGGTTTAGTTGACAAATCTGATACATTTGATTCTGTACTATAATAATCTGGGCTGCTCTAATAGCAAATCAAGGATGCCCAACAGTGTCAAGAAAATGTGGTCTTCAATATACTGAATTAAATATTAGACCAGCGATTTCTGGTCGCTTGTAAAACTTGTAGCAGCCCTTCAAGACGTGGGCTGAGCACCACCATGCCTCGCTGATTTGAATAGTTTTGTAGTATATTCTTTTATGTGTAATGAAAGTCAAAGAAGCCTGTGTGTCATTATTAAACCTGTACATTTTTCTCTATGTGCGGCATTAAATATAGATGTTGTTGTGCAGAGAAAGCCTAGATAATATATTTTTGTTGATACAATCATGAATGTACCTTTTTGGTGTAGTTTAGTCTGAGTGCCTATGTTGGCTCATATTTTATATTTATTACCTTTCTTATGAGCTGCAATGTGATGTGATTGGAGAATGATATAACAACACTTACTTACCTTAATGCGAATAAAACTGGATATTATGGATATTCGTACTCCCCAGAGGATGTTTCCCATGTTTCTGGTCACAACCTTTATTTTGTAATATCAGGCCACACTTTCAACCTGTGTAGAAGACAATACGAATGGAAAAAGTGCCATGAAAATCAAAACACATTCACGTTCCCCAGAGAATAACTGCTCTGCACCATCTTCTGCCCTAAATGTCAACTTTGCACACAGGATATCTCATAATTTAATTGCCACAGTGCCATGAAATTTCAGCAAGCTAATTCTCCCGAAGGGTATGAATGAATAGCTTGAATTTCATGCCATTGTGGCCTTTTCTCTTGTGCCACTCAGGACGGACTACTCTCTGATAAGCAAAATCTTGATTGTGTATTAATTAACTGCTTTTTTTGGGTCTTCACTCTCTTATTCTTATTATGATTTATTTTTGTACCTGCACTACCCAATCACAAGATCCTAGACCTATACCCTGGCAATTCAATTTATACTTTGCAAATAATTGATTATGTGTCTCCTTCAGCATATTATGACAGCTTCAGCATGTTGTGCAGTTACAGTTCAGTTGTTACTCCACTAAAATACCTGATCTAACAGCTGCCTTTATCATTTTCCATTGGTGGCCATTCTTTGTTCCTGCTCTCAACTGTGTCAAACAGAGCATGCACACACCACCACGAACTTGTCATTGTGTTGTAAATGTTTGTTTTTTTAAGCAGTGACACACTCAAGGACAATTTGAAGGAAAAAAAACAGTTTCCCGGCCTAGATACCTGGGCCTTTATGAAACACCCTCTGCTGAATTGCTGCAGTTTTGGTCCAACCTGACATTGATCAACAGCATGTGACTGTCTCCCACTGATGATGCATGAGGCCTCTAATGTGTTCATGTTTGTATCACTAGTATGAACTTGTGTGTGTTATGTGTGCTCTCTCATCACAGCCAGTCACAGCCTGTCTGTTGAGCACAGCGTTCTTTGGTGCACTGGGGTCATCTTTCATTTACGGCTACAACCTCTCTGTGGTCAACGCTCCTGCTTTGGTGAGTCAAGCTGTTAGGTAGACTTGTACAGTAGGTATGCTTGTGGAGCACCATCATTGATTTCTCTCCATTTGTTAGCTCTATTAGAAATCCATAAACATTCACTTGGATGGTGCTTCAGAACCAAAAATAAAGTTGTTCATGAGTTTAGATTAGTGTAGATTTAGTCTAAACCACATTACATAGCGTATTCAGTGCCATAGAGCTTTCTGTTATTTGTAATTTAATTACTGGACATTGTGTTTTGCTTAACACAATGTATGATGTTAATATGTACAGAGAGAGTTGTTCTGCTTGGTTATTGGTTTCAGTTTCTCACAGATTTTATAATTAGATGTATCTCAGTAACACTTGTTATTCAAAATGACTTTCATCTCACATGCCCACCCTTTTGATCACAAAAGGCGTTTCTTTTTAACCAAAAATGTTGATTCTGGGGTTTAATTCATTAATTTTTTTGTGATCATACCATTAGTGTCAAGACGGAGTAGAGGGAAATGTAATTAATGGGAATATGTGTTAATTGATGAGACTTTGTTAGCCTCTTGTCAGATAAAGAAAAAAATACATCAGCAGGAAGACAATTACGTTTACAAACTGTTTGGATTAGACTAGACATCTTCTGTAAGTCCTTTGTGTCTGGTAATATTATACAGTCCCTTCCAAAATTATTGGAAGTGTAAGCCAAATTCCTTTGTTTTTGTTGTTCACTGAAGACATTTGGGTTTAAGATCAAAAGATGAGTATGAGACAAGAGTTCAGAATTTCAGTTCTCATTTCCTCGTATTCACATCTAGATGTGTTAAACATCTCAGGACATACCACCCTTTGTTTGAACCCACCCATTTTTCAAGTGAGCAAAACTACTGGAACATGTGACTGACAGATGTTTCTTGTTGCCCAGGTGTTGCCTTTTAGGTTGATTGTCCAAACATTAAATAACTCTGCATGACTAATCTAAGTTTTCATCCTTGGTTCAAACCTATAAAGATTGCATTTCCTGTTAAAGAGGATAAACCAACATGAAGACCAGAGAGCTCTCTATGGAAGGAAAGCAAGCCATTGTCAAGCAGAGAAAAGAAGGAAAATCGACCAGAGCCATTGGACAGACATTGGGTATAGCAAGCACGACAATTTGGAATGTCCTGAAAAGGAAAGAAACTACTGATGTACTGAGCAACAGACGTCAAAAAAGGTCAGCCAAGGATAACAACAGTAGTTGATGACAGAAATATCGTGAGAGCTGTGAAGAAAACCCCCAAAACATCAGTAAGTGACATCAGCAATGACCTCCACAGTGCAGGGGTGAAGGTATCACAATCCACTGAAGAAGACTAGAGGCCACACCACAAGATGCAAACCACTCATCAGCAGGAAGAATCGGATTGAAATTTGCAAGGAAGAACAGAGATGAGCCGCAAAAGTTTTGGAACACAATCTTATAGACTGATGAGACCAAGATTAATCTCTACCAAAGTGATGGAAAGGCCAAAGTGTGGAGAAAGAAAGGAACTGCTTATGATCTGAAGCATACAAGCTCATCTGTGAAGCATGGTGGAGGTAATGTCATGGCTTGGGCGTGCATGGCTGCTTCTGGAACAGGCTCATTAATATTTATTGATGATGTAACTGATGATGGTAGCAGCGGAATGAATTCAGAAGTGGACAGAAACATTTTGTCTGCCAATTTATGGAGAAATATATTGATTAATCGGGAGGAAGTTTATCATGCAGCAGGACAATGAGCCAAAGCACACTGCCAAAAAAACAAAGGACTTCATCAGGGGAAAAAAAGTGGAAGGTTTAAGACTGGCCAAGTCAATCACCTGACCTTAACCCAACAGAGCATGCATTTCGCCTCCTTAAGAGGACACTGAAGGGAGAAACACCCCAAAACAAACAAGCACTGAAAGAAGCTGCGGTAAAAGCCTGGAATAGCATCACAAATGAAGAATGCAACGGTTTGGTGATGTCGACTGGTCGCAGGCTTGAGGCAGTTATTGCAAGCAAGGGTTATGCCACCAAATATGTTATTTACTTTAAGATTATTTGTTCCTTTACTTTTGCTCACCTAAGAATGCTGTGGTCTAATACAAAGGGTGGTATGTCCTAAGTTATTTAACACATCTAGATGTGAATACCAGGAAATAAAAGCTGAAATTCTGAACTCTTGTGTCATACTCATACTCATACTCATCTTTTGATCTTAAACCCAAATGTCTTCAGTGAACAACAAAAACAAAGGAATTTGGCTTACAGTTCCACTAGGGGACTGTATGTATGGATACTTTTCAATCTGACCTCCTCTTTTCTTAGAGGTAATTAGATGTTCCAAAGGTCATTTAATTAGTATTCAAACTGTAAAACCCTCAATGCTGCAGTTGCAGAAAATGGATTTCATCTTTCACTGATTGTGTCTGAAGTTCTGATTAATACAGTACAATAGACTTGAGTATAAACACAAGCAGTAATGCAAACAAATTTTAAAAAGTAAGGTATCATAAATATTATGTTGTGATCCACTTTTATGCAAACATTTCAGAACAGTGGGCAGTTAGTGATTTATCATATTTTTGGAATTTGGAAATGTAGTATTGTTTTTGTAGTAGTTTTTTTTTTTTTAAAGCACCATGGTTTAAAACATTAAGCTAGTATAACTACTAGTTTCATAATAAAAATGAAGCCACAAAGAATTATCACACAAATCTGCAGCTCCCTCGGCTCTCTCGCTGCTGTCATAGCATAGTTTTTGGTTGCAGCAGGCAGCTGTTTTCAACAAAAAAGCTCTGAAAACCCAATGTACACTACCTGCTCAGCACCAAATGGCAGACAGACACAGTTAGCGACTAGCTGGTGAACACAGTGGTGCATTTAGCAGCTAAATAGCGAAAGAGAAATCTTTTCCTCAGGAGTTGGTAGAGACTCCAAACAGAGCTAAAAGAGAGTAAATATTGGACATTTATCTGGTGGCCATGGAGCAAAAAACCATAAACTCTCAACACACTTTATCATTATCCCGATTGCTGTTTTAAAATACAGTAATCTCATTTGAAATAACCAAAACTGTTTTAACTTTGGCAGAAAGGTTTGTATTCAGGTTTTCAAAGGACCCCCTAACTCATAGTAAGAAGCTGATTGAGAAACCTTGAAGGTCTTTAAGTTTATTTTTTTTGGCATGTTGCCATTTGGACGTTCTCACTGAAGTAAAAACATAAAGGGTAGTGGGGGAAATGGTTCCCAGGCAGACTCGAACTGGGGCTACCTTGTATGTGTCTTAGGCGCCTCCTCCTGGAGGGCCCAACATTTCATAACCTAATTTGACATATTGGAATGCAAATGAAAGTAGGAAGGTCATAGTGTAAAACAGAGGCTGGTCTCTGAAGCTCATAAATCAGGATTATTCCTAAATATGTGACACTGGAGGGTTTTACTATTTACTGAATTATACTGTACTGTATGTGTTGCGTCGTCCCAAAGTAAATCCTAGTGTACGGCGAGAGAATTAGGTAAAAAGCAACCAGCCTTCAACATGTTAGCTTTTATATGCTGAATTAGATACAGTGACGCAAAGGTTTAAAAATCTGTACCACTCCTCCACTAGATTCTTAAGAGAACAATGCTGTCTATGAACAGTGCGTTTCTTCTTTTAATTAGGTCTTGTGTGTATCACAGTGCTAGCCATGAGTGGTGAAATTAATTCATTGAACAATGGGAGGATGAAAGGAAAAGTGAGGAAACCTGGCATCTCTCACTCATGAACTGTGAGTCTAATTGGAAATTGTGTCTCCAGGGTCATAATTGTAATGCCCATTATCTGCTATTTGCCCAGCAATGCATGAGAATAATTAAATTGTTTAAGATTGAAAAATTTACATGAGAATGTGTCAGCAATGAAGTTTGAAGAAATCCAAATATCCCATCAACACTCCTGTTCAGCCCAGCTGGTAAAAAATATTCATTAAGGTTACTTCATATGTATGTTGAGTATCTGCTTGTTGTTTATTCTCCTTCATAGCTTCTGCTCATCAGAAACACAAGCTGCTCATTAAGCTAGCGCTGGCTCCTCTCCACCATCGTAGGGGTCCACCACTGCTCCTGCTGTCTTTACAAAATTCAGACAAAACAAATGAACAAGCAGCTTCCCTCTTTGACTGCATGTTTGCCAACTACAGAATGAAAAGATCATTAAGGAACCTTATAACATTACCTTACAAAATACAGGTTCACATCCAATAAAAACCCAATAAATATTACACACAGCCTATAAACCCTGCAAGCCAATATTCAGTTTCCCTCATGCACAAGAGGTCTGCCTCCAACAGCGAGCCAATTTTATAATGTGAAACTGCAATTGGCAAAGGAATATCAAAAGCAGTGTTAAAAATGCATGCCCATTAAATTCTAATAAACTGGTAGCTCTTACGATCTCAGACAATAAATATGCAATCAGATGGCAAACTTATTATCATTTCTGGCCTCCTGCAGAATAAGCGGTCAAAAGCAACACTTGGTATTAACATACCCCTCATTCTCAACTCCATTCCCAACCAGTGATGGAAATCTAGCCACCAGATTTACAAGCCCTCAACTGGGAGACTGTTGGCTTTATGTAGTTACTGTATCTGTTAGTTTGTCTTTAACATCATGTACTGTATGTGAGAAACCTGGTTTCCATAGTCGGAGCAAAGGATGATAGAAACCCTACTTATCCAGCCAGACTCCTTAGCATTAACCGGCTTATGTGCCTGACAGAGACTTCATACAGGGAAAGTGTTGCGACAGCAGTGGAGAGGCATCAAAGGATGATTACAAGTAATGATACATTCTCATTATTAACACAACTTGATTTAAAGCGTGACTTAAACTGACAGGGACACTAAGCAGCCTCTGTAAGTCTAAATAAATCAGTGAATGCAACTAAACAGATAAATGCAAAACATTTGCACCATCGTCGCTGACATGTGCTGCCCTCTGCTGGACCACACAAACACAATTCACCTCTTTACTTTGTTTTCGCTGTAGTGTTGATTTTTTTTATGTGGCATGGTAAATTTATGTTGCAGTGATTCAGTCACTAAAGACAAATAGCAAAATATGTTTTTCAATAATGATGCAGACAAATCATATATAAAAAATATTTTTTTTCATATAGGCATTTTGAATCTTCGATACAAAATAAGTTCTGACAAGGGAAAGAATAAATCTGATTACTGACCTGCAGCATATTTGTTCAGGTTACTGCATTTCATATAATCATGTTTATACTGATTTTCTGCATAGCCTGATTTGTCACCTGAGCCTGGTGTATGTTTTCACAAAGTGATAAAGTCAGATCCTTGGTAGTTAATTAATCTGTTCCACGTGAGTTGGCTGCCTGAACTGCAGGGAAAGGGTGATGAAACCGCTGTAGAAACCAGTGTAGCTTTTAACCTCCCTTTCTTTTGATGTCAATAAAACAAAGGTTAAACTTTGAGGTGTTTTCAGAACTCTGAAGTCACGTCAGTGTCACATAGGTAAATTTGCAGGCTAACACTTAACAAACAAGGCACTCGCAGCCTCACTGCTCCTGAGCCATGTCAGACAATGATAACAACTGCAACCAGTGCCACCGAAAACTTTCAAGCACACTTTTGTTCCGCCATCACTTTTCGTAAAACTGTGAATATTCAAAATCTACACAGTTGATTTCTCACCTCAAAACTTCTCAGAAGTGAATTTAGTGATCAAAGTTAGTATCGCCTCATGCTCACTTGGAACCTCGACGGAGGTGATACGAAAAAACGTACCCGGTAGCAGGTCAGGTACAACTTTTCCACAGTGGAAAACGAGAAATTCTATGAGAATAGGCGCAGCCCTCTAAGGCTATTGCTATTGGGTTTACCCCTTGCACACGCCTGTGCGGAACTGAGAATTTTAGTCTACGCCCACCCACTGCGTGGGCCTATCCTACGTCCGCACCTTGTGTATATATACAACGGTGAGACCCAGCCTTTGGCTCCCAAATGCGAGAACCAAGGTCCAGTGAGGCCTTCAACTTAGAGGGCTGCGCCTATACTCATAGAATCCGGGTTACAGTATGTAACCCCTGTTCTATTTCATATAGGCTTCACCCTCTAAGGCTATCGCTATTGGGTTAGAGGCAAAGCAGGATGAGTCAACGCCTCTCTGGCCCATACAGTACCACCAAGCACAAGTCACCTGCCCAGAGCCATAATGAGCCACCCAGTCGCCCTCTGACCGCGGCATTGTTGTCAGTGTGCGTGCGAGCATCGATGGCGGGGTCGCGACAGCAACCGCATCCGCTGCGCACAAGGCAGGGCCATGTAAGCAGCGGCCGCCCCCCCACACCGTCCCATGGGAGAGGGCGCATTGCACATTCACAAGGAGAATCACTCCAAAAACACAGCCAAAACACTCAGTACTGAGTGAGTCAGAGAGAAACGGGAGACATCCCACAGGTAGAAACAGACAAAAGAGCATGGGGACGATCAGGAGGCCGCCGTGCAGATGTTGTCCACTGTCATCCCACTGTGGATGCCTCTTGTGGAGTGTGCTCTGATGCCATCCGGGGGAGACTCACCGGCAGACACGCGCTGCGCCGACAGGGGAAGTCACTTGGACTGCTCCCTGTGAACGGTGCAAGGAGGCCGTGCACGCCACATAACAGGACAGCACTCGCACCGGGCAGAGGAGGTGGGACGTGGCGTCCTCCACCGACCCATGGGGGGTAGGAAAAAAGCCAGAGAGGGTGATGACCCGTGACCGAAAGGAGCTCGTAATGCTTTTAGGCATGAATGCCGGGTTAGGGCGCAGAACAGCCAAGCTGCCGTCGCCCTGAATCCTGAGAAACAACGGCGCCACAGAGAGGGCCGATGTCAGAGCCAGGAGCAAGGCGACCTTACCCGAAAGGAATCTCAGGTCCGCCGTCTCCAAAGGCTCAAACGGGGCTCAAACACGCTAATGCGTGTATTTTTTAATTTATTTTCTGTTTAACTTGGCAAATAATGTAGTTGTGATCATAAAGCCAACTTGCACAAGTAATTGTACATTTGCCTCATGCTCACACTCTATACACTTGTGTATGACACACTTAATGTATATGTACATTCTGTATTGAAAAATGGGATCTGTATAATCATTTACCTTTCAAATATTGAATGATGAATTTAAAAATGTTTTTCTCTCTTGTATTGCAGTACATTAAAGCTTTTTACAATAAACATGGATTGAGAGATATGGGGAGCCTATTGCAGCAGAGACAGCCACCCTCCTCTGGTCCCTCACAGTGTCCATATTTGCTATCGGAGGCCTTCTTGGAGCGCTGTCCGTCTCTTTCATCGTCAAATTACTGGGAAGGTGAGTTGACTCACTTGCACTTCTAATCCAGTCTTGTTCATGGAAGGCAGAAGTGTTTCACCTATAGTTGTATCAGCCTGTGACCTCAATCATAAAATTAGATCAGCGGATTAGCCAGCTAGCTTTGGGCTGAACCCAGGCCTTTTGATATTGTGATGCTTGTTCACTTTTAGCTGGGGCACATCACAATAGTAACCTGATCTGGTACAGTTTGAGTTCAGAGGATCAGATCAAAACGTGGAGGCCTAAAGAATGAAACTCTGATACCACTTTAGAACAGGGTTTCTGACAAACAGCAGGTAGCTCGTCAACGTTTTATCTTTAATTTTCATCTCTAGATTCAGGAGCAGAAACGTTGTTACATTTTAAAAAAGGAAGATATTTCCAGATCATTATAACAGTCTGTTCATCTCCAGATATAAAGTGTAATAATAAGAGTTATAGGGGCCATATTGGCCCTTGTGGTCAGGCAGCACCAGGCTCTCCTAGACTTGTTAAATGGGATGTGCTTTACTACCAGCTGTGAAAGAAATCTTCCAGGGGAAAGAATACATACTTGCAATATATGGCAAGAGTAACCTTCATCCAATATGACGCACTATACATACATATATTGTTGCCTGTCTGAAACTACAATGCTCCCGCTTTCGGAGCTTAGAAGACAACCCTGCTGTATGTTCTCTGAATCAGAATCAGAAGGACATTTATTGCCAAGTAGTGTTTTACACATACGAGGAATTTACTTTGGTGAGGAGGTGCTACAGGTAAACAAAGATACAGTTGACATAAATCTAGAAATACATAAATATGGAATAAACAATTCAAGTTATATAAGAATAATAAAAAGAATAGAGAAAGATACTATAACTATTTGCAGAGAAAAAACGTCACAGATATTTATATGTGCATTATTCCGGGATGTGTTGTGCAGAATATTGTGTACATAAATATATAAATTTACTATGTAAAAATATAGAACAACAACAATTAAAAATTAACAACAAATATGTGCAATGTGCCAGGTTTGTGCATGATATGAAATGAAATAATATTTACATGTGCAGAGACATTTGTATTATTGGAAAGTGTGTATCAGTGGGGGACCCGGGCCTTGTTGATGAGGCTAGCTGTAGACTGGAAGCTGTTTTTGTGGCGAGAGGTTTTGGTCCTGTATGGGGAGGTGTAGAAGTGCACCATCATTGTCTTTGGCAGGCTGAACTTCTTCAGCTGCCACAGGAAGTACATCCTCTGCTGGGCCTTCTTAGTGAGGGAGGTGATGTTCAGCTCCCACTTGAGGTCCTGGGAGATGATGGTGCCCAGGAAGTGGAAGGAGTCCACAGTGGTGACTGGGGAGTCACACAGGATGATGGGGGAAAGTGGGGCTGGGCTCTTTCTAAAATCCACAACCATTTCCATAGTCTTCAGAGTGTTGAGCTCCAGACTGTTCTGTCTGCACCAGTATATTATATAGCATACTGACATGTGTATGTAGTTACAACAAAGTGTTTTTTAAGTAAAAGTTGTTAATATTTAAGTAATATTTAGTGAACAGCCAGCATTTCCTGGCTTATTGACATATTTTAGGCTAACCTTACCTTGGTTAAACAACGAGTTGCTGTTGTTTAAGGCGTAGAATTCTTTAAAAAAATGTTTTTACAACTTGTATGGTAGTCAAGATGAATCACACCCTGTTTACTGATAAATGTAGAGGGAGGGGAAGGGATGTTTCAAAATTTAGATTAGAATAGAATAGAACCATTTCTTTAATTCTTGGTGGTTTCAGTAATGCCATGGCAACTGAGGGCCTATGTGATCTTAATCACTAATGTAAACTTACGAGTTTTGGATAGGACAGAAGGAGACTGACAGGTGACTATAATAATAATAATAATAATAATATGTAGGCCTACATTGTTACACAATATATTCCAATTCTTAAAAACCTTTATTGTCCACTCTGTGGGTGCAAAAGGCAAAAATTTGTCTCACATCCAGACAGGACACATTATATATACAGTATAGGTTTGTACACATAAACACTTTTATCCAAAGCGTCTTCAATTGCTATATATGTCAGAGGTCACACGCCTCTGGAGCAACTAGAGGTTAACACATTGGTGGATGTGTCACAGTGGGGGATTGAACCTGGGTCTCTCATACCAAAGGCGTGTGTCTTATCCACTGCGCTGTCACCACCCCATACTGCATATATCATATTTATTTTGTCTTTTTATTGTGCACTTATTTACTACAATGAATTCAATAAATAAATCTGTAATAAACTCAGAAACATGAATACCATGTCAAGGAGTTTGTCCGTGACCTTACCTCCGTGTTGTCCTTACATTTAGTCTCCACCATGGTTTTCTGTGCCACATGGGGATGCTCCAGTAGCTTGGAGAAAGGTGTATGAATGTACTGTTTTCCCACTGACGGAGCAGAGAAAAAAAACAGTTGGTTCAAGTCAGCAGGAGTGGTTTTACACTTATCACTAAATATTAATATAACAACAACAAAATATGTGAGGTAACCATATTCAAACGCTGCATTTGCACTTTTCACAAAGACAACACCATTGGGAAACTTAATGTTTGCTTTATTAAAAATAAGGAGCAGGGAAAGGCTTGCAAAACCCAGAGAGTTGAGACGCAGGGTGCAGTCTCTTTGCAGGGAGTTTTCAGATTCCACTGAATCCCCCTGTGGTTCTTGCTGACAGAGAGAGAGAGAGGAGGAAGGGTTAGATACACAAAGTCTTGGATGGGGAAATCACCTTGGGAGATGAGGTGTGGTCTTTGTTCCCCAACGTAGCTTGTCTCATGTTCTTTTTCAGGTTTTCTTTTAGATATTTTCCCATTTTCTATATTGACATTCACCTTTAGTGCTCTTAACAAACACCTGGCCGGCAGTAATGACGAAAGAACGTAGCAGCTGTCATACTGTGGCTTTGAGCCTCAACTTACCACACTTTGAGGTATCGTATCGTAAATGAAAGTTATGGTCTCCATACCTATTCTCCAAGGACATTAATGTTTTTAGGGAGTGGAGAAAAAGGAATTTGCTTCAGACTGAGTGGCAGTGGTTTGACAACCTATTATCCACTGATCCAATCTTGCTGCCAGTGTAATGACTTTATTGGGTTTCAGTCTAGCTGTGTTTCACTGCCTTGGTGCAGGGCTGCAGAGATCTAAGTCCTTCTATGCTCCAGGGACAGACTCCGGCACTGACAAAATCACCTCAGTGCTCTGAAATAATATACGTTCAAAAGAATCTATTATCCACTAATGATGATGCTGTCACTCTTGGAGCAGAAAAAGACTTATGAAGCTTTTGTTCAGAGTCATTTGAGAAAATTAAAATGCCCTTAAGATTCACCTTGGATCTCTCAGGTGGCGATCCCCACTGTGCTGATTAGGCTGAAACACATTATTCATTCTCCCTCCATAATCTCTGCCGCGGCCAGCTGGTAGTTTTGCACAATGTCTGGGAAAAGGTTGAAATTCAGATGTCAGGGAGAAGAGTTGAATGTATATTAGCAGATAAGGACACATGGAGCAGTCTAAAAGAAAAGTACTTCATAGAGTGACCAAGTGGTTCATTAAAAGTTTGCGAGTGAAACTAAGGTAAATGTTGTTTTTTTTTAAAACCGCGACTTCTGAATATTTCAACACCAGATTTGGTTTCATGAAGAGATGGTATTCTCTTAAAATAAGTTGAAAGCCCTGTTTGTTACATGCCTGTGATCCCCCTCCCCCCCAGGTAAAATAGAGTTTTGTTAGATTAATACACACATTCATATCTCTTAACAATGCAATGGTGATTCAGATGATGATGCTGTTGGTTTTAAAACACATTAAAAGGTGCTGCCCTGACAGGGTTGAGTGAAAATGCCACCATTTCAGACCAGATCCAGACTGATCTTGAGACTATCTCAAGTGTGTAGGAGCAGACCTTGGTGTGTGAAGAGAAGACTAGTCACACATCAAACTGCTAACCACCTCACTCTGATTTTAGACAATAAGAACCTCTCTGTTCCCCCACACAACAAATACTAGGGTTCCTTAAATCCCAATAGACCAATCACATCTTACCAAACACCAGAGCTCTGTTTGCTATGACCTGGTGTTCCCTTCAAATTATCAGACAATGATCTCTATACTGCTGCATAGAACGCCATGCATCAAATTGGGAGGAGAGGCGCTGTAAAGGGTGCGGCAATGGCAATCCAGCGGTGGTGTCAAGGATGAGTGTGTTTCTTGCTCGGTCCGCTGCCCACCTGCTCAGAGCAGCGCGACAGCTCAGCACACCATGTTCCATAATGCTTTCCTTTAGTCTGTGGCTCTTTCTACAGCCATCTGAAGGAAGCAGGTACTTTAAAGCCACTTTTGATGGAGCAACATTAAATATATAGTGCAATAATCCATAGTGTCATCTTGGGGGTTTATCTAACCTGTAGCTCAATCCTGAACGGCCGGTCCATTTCAGGCCGAACTGGCTGGTGTTAAAGACTTTTTATTCAGTTTCCTATGTTCAACTTTAAATAATCCACAACTGCGCATCAGCTGCAGCGAACGCTGTCTGTGTCTATCAGACTGGGCCAAACCAATACAATATTGAGGGGGGATATAAGCGGCCCCTCCCAACTCTGAAATCTGATTGGCTCAACGGCACCAATCAAAGGAGTTTACTCTCAATACGTTTTGTCAGGACTGAACTCAGCCCAGGGTTGTGTGACAAGCACAACAGAGCAGGTAAATATGTCAAAGAAAGAAAGAGGGAAAAAATGTGTGGTGCCCAGCTCTGGTGGAAAGGTGCTGTGGCAGGCAAAGATGAGGCAGTCCCCAGCACAGGCACTGATAATCCATCCGCTGTCAACCGCTTATCCTGCATACAGGATAACATACATACATATGTATGTATAGGCATATAGGCTATATTATATATTTATATTATAAACAAAAGTTGAAGGAAAAAGGAAGAAGAAGAGCTGTAGGAGAAGGACGATGAAGAGAAGCAGCAGGAGGAGAAGGACAATGGAACCAGAAACAGCAGTGACAGGTACAGAGGCAGTTGGCAGGGCTGGGTAGGCATTCATCCATAGATAGAATTAGAAAATGGATTATTGTAAGATGATGTTCTTCTCATGCATATTTAGCTATACAATATGTACAAGCAGAGTCAGGGTCCAGCACAGGGGAAGCTGAGCCAGATATAGGCCTACTCAGAGCTGAAGATGAGGAATTAGATTTTTATACACAGACTGCATCGTAGTTTTGATTATATTTAACTATTTTAGCATTCTGACTCACACTTACCTGACCTGGTCTTGTTCAGTGCAGTGATGCATTGCTCATACAAACTTAAGAGGCAGGTGTCATAAAAAGTTTCTTGAAGGTTGTCATCATAATGAAACACTATATATTAAAATAACTGCAAAAAAATCTTTCTCTGTGCCCCCACAAGGCGCTCGTATAAAAGGCCTCTCCGTGTCAAAGTCCCGGCCTGAATTTCAGTCCCAGTACATCCCTGCTCAGGAGGCTTATTCAGCTATATGTGCTGAGGAGAATTTTGGTGAAATTTAGGCATTGGGTAAAAGGCGATAAGCAAACAAATGTGGAGTTTGTTCATGATTTGGCTTCCCATTTTCACTGTTAGTGCTCATCCACTAAAGCTGCTGATTTTGACAGTCTTTGTGAGCTGATTGTGTTGAGCAGTTGACACTATTCCTCAACCCATTGCTACTTATGCAAATGAGCAGAAGCCCACCACTATGCTTTAAGCAGCTCAATTAGCTGATGATTTTGTGTTGACGCGTAAAGGTAGTTCTCCAGATTGGAAAAATAGGGATTAGCTGTGGTAATTGCCATAGTTAACAGTCCCAGTGGTATTTACAATTTGTAGCAACATCCTCATGATAAACCTGAGAATGTTTGATGAACGAAGGCTGCCTGAATGCCCTAGTTTGAGTGTCGATGAGAAGAGACAGAGTCACCCTGACCTTCAGGTCCTCTGAAGGATCTTAAAGACCCACGTTCATTGGCTGCATCCTTTGTAGGATCCATACCTTGAACTGGGACACAGTAATAGTGTGCTGAGGATGACATTGCACCCACATAATGATTCATTTGGTATAATACTTCTGACCCGAGGGTCATATTTGTAAAACGCATAGCTCAAATCAAGCAATCTGATTGATTGTAAGCCATGGTATAACTATATATATAAGCTGTGCTGTCTAATTTCTTTAGACATTTCAGTAACACTTGAGAAAAAAAACCTTAGTGTAGCAAACTGCTATAAAACCACCGCTGTGGGGGACAACAATGGAGGAGTGGATTGAGCAGTGCATATCTCCCGCCGAACCTAAAAGATGACATGCAGAGATATGTAAGGAGGAAAAAACTAAACTAACTAAATGAATAGAACACCTTTGAAAATAGGCCATCAAATGCTTTGAAAACTGGTGTAAGGATAAAGGTGTAGTTTTAGACCTTAAGACACCGTCAAAGAAGTGGGTCATTAACATTTTACAATATTTCTATGCCACTGTCAAAAATGGCAGCTATGTTGATCTCCCTGCTGGATTAAATTGCTCAGTCGGTCCAGGTATCTCCTCAAAGATTCAGAGTTTACAACATGCAAAAATGTATTCACCAGTGTAGTGAAAACTCATAGAAAGACTTCTAAGGACTTCATCGTGTGTCAATATCAGAGGATGACTTCAAAGCGATAAAGAAGGTGCTGGATCCCAACACTCCGGGGGCTCTAGTAAACAAAGTGTGGTTTGACGTTCAACTATGCAAGGAAATGGAGGGCAATCGGCAGCCCAAACCCACGTCATCCACCATCAAAAGAGACCAAAACTGGCTTAAATATACAACTCTGGCTTTGAACGAGCATATAAAGAATCACAAAGACCCACAGGGGAAGAATGAAGAGAGCACATATGATGAGCCTGACGATCCTCTGCCCTGTTTCATCTATAGAGAAATATGTCTCCCACCTACCCTTGGATGCACAAGCCTTATACCTTCACTGAAAAAGACAAGTGATCTGCGTTGTCGATAGTGTTTGGTATGTAGGCCTATCACATATTCTTTTGATCTGAAGTTATTAAAAAACAACTATTTGTAGGGTAGTCTATCATGACTGTTAATGACCTAATCTACAGCAAATGTAAAAAGTGTCATTTGCTATGTGTCACAGGTACACTTGAGAGCCAAAGGGCATTAATCATCTTGTCAAAATGTTGCCCAGAATATGCAAGCAAGCAGAAACGCAGAAGAAATAAACTAACCGCTGCCTCCTCAGCAACATGATTCAGAATGCGGTTCTTGACACGAGAGAGGTTATGGCTGTAAGTGTAAAAGGTCTTTCTAGAGCTACTGGCGACTGAAACTCGGTGACCAGAGAAAGTGGAGCAACATCCTCGCCACCCCAAGCGACACACCTCAACTAACAAAACATGCAAGCCTGTAAGCAGTTTTCAGTCATTCCACTGATGCTGGACAGTTTTTCAGTGGTTGCACAATGAATGGCACAAATTAATAGAAATAAATAGCCAAATGATGAAATAAATTTGTGATAAAAAATGATACAAAAAAAGATCTGTTGCATAACCGCCTTGCACTATGTGCAGGCAGCCAGGAGGTCCTATTCCTTTGTAAGAACAATGTTTTATAAACATGTTAATAAAAACAGTTTAAATTAGAATGTGTCTATAACTTTCATATTGCCATACTTTTTAACAATTTTGTAAAAGCAATAGCTCACTCCAGGACATATATGATATATTGTGATCATATCAAAGCGAAGGGGCCTTGTTCAACCTGATCTGATCACGGCCTGTTGTGAGCTACTGCCTGATTATAAATGCAAAAATTTGTTGTTGTTTAATTTTTTAGAGACATAAAATGTCTTTCATTTCTAAATATATACAAATTTCAACATGCATTAATTGGTTTTCCTCAGACATAAGGCTGTTGTAAAGCTTGACTGGTCATGAGCAGCCTCCCTTGGAAAAAAGACATTGATTTTTCTGCTTTGCTGGCTCTGAAGAATAGCACCTATCCACACATTTCTTTATCCTCTTGAAGCCATGAATGCCACTCTTTTTAGAAGTTAGATTAGCGAGCTTTTATACCATATTAGATTAGCTAGCTTTTATACCATTAAAAATCATTGGGCCCATTTTGACAAATTGAACTGAAGTGAAGAAATTACCTTTGTAAACGGATTAGGATTTATATAAAATGTGTGTAGGATCATTTTAACCTGTGCCAGTGTAGATGATGTTCTCTGCTCAAGTTTTCTCTTTTTTTCCAACCATATTTTTTCCTTGACTCTAGAAAAGGAACCTTGCTGCTGAATAACGTCTTTGCTGTAATAGCTGTTCTGCTGCTGTCCCTGGGTGAGACGGCCAAATCTTTTGAGATGCTCATCATTGGCCGGCTCATAATTGGGGTGGACTCTGGTAAGTGTTTAATTTACTATAGGTTGGAGCAGTATGTTACTTTCTATACTCACCACTCACCAGGCAGTGGACAAAAGTCACTGTGAAGGAAAGCACTGCATGATAGAGAGAAAATTACAGACAGTTGCAGACCTTGACAGCGTATTGGACTGTATAATTAAGTCTGATCGAAAGTCACACAAAGAAACTAACTGGGAAAGAAATGTACATTGTAATGAGTTTTTAGAAAATTACTTCCATTCTATGTGAAAAGATAATACTGGAAGGTGCAAATCCTAAAGATTAATATAGGCTTGTGATGTAACCTAACCTTGAAGAAAAATCTATAGGAATTAGCAGATATTGTGGATAGAGTACTTGACAAACCTGAATGCTTTGATGATCAGTAAAAAAAAAGACTTGATTAAAGATCTGACTTTCCTTTCTGAATGCACGTCTCCTGCCATGCCATGTCATTGTGGGTTGTGTTACATGCAGACCAAAAGTCTAGGGAGATGAAATTGTGGTTATAAAAAAATGATCAGACAGTATCTTGACTTAAATAAGCTGATCATGCTGCTGATCATGTGAAAATCAGAAATTATAAATTGATGATTTGTAAGTGAAATATACTTATTTTGAATGTCTGATTTGCACTTAACTCCTGACGCACCTCTTGTTTGGGTAAACAAGTGCCAGGTCTATACGACTTTGCTTTGTGCTACACTTTGACTGCACTGCATACAATTGGCTGATCATCACACTCGCCACTGCCAATATTACCAAAAAGTTATGTTATGTGTGTGTTTAAAGTTATCTGTATAAGGATTAAAAGATTATTTGAGCTGGCTAACATCCTATTGACTAATAGGTGAGCATTATATAAAGAAAAGGGCTCAGAAGCAATATACACCTCAGCATCAATGTCCATAAGATGCGTGTTACCTGAAATACTCTACACATTCACTGCAGAGCACAAACACTTGTTTACAATTTCTAAAGCATGGGAACTGATTTGTGCAAAAAGCTGTCTGAGGATTAAATGTTCTACCACCGCTGACCATTTCTAATGCACAGGCCATAACATTGCTACACAATACAAGACAGTTCAACACAGAGGCGACCTGGTATAATAGTTCAGGAAATCTAATATCAGACCAATCTCCACATTCACTCCACTCACTTTGTTGAAATATTTGTCCATTTGCTGTTTATCCCAGTAACATTTAATTTACTTTTAGTTTAAAAAAGACCAAGATAGTTAAAAACAGCCAAGTGTCTTCAATTTCAGGAGTTAGTCAATTGCACCTCAATAATTAAAGCAACAGAAATAAATAATCATATATATATCATTTTTATGCACTTCTGGAGTGTTTGTTTTACCTACCTTTAATGCGCTTCCTCTCAGCTGCGCCTTTTCTCTTTCTCTTGTTCTCTCTTCTCCACACTTTAGGCTAATAAGCTTGCCAAGCTTCAGCCTTTTTGAAATGGTGCTGGAAGTTGAATACTGTCAATGCAAGTGTTAGGATGTGGATTTGGATGTATGCATTTCTGTGGAAAAACAAAACAGACTGAGCTACAGATTCGGGAACAATTCAAACATACAATATGTTTTTACAGACTGCTGAAGGTTTAAGATAAAATAAACTTGGAGGGATACTTTCTCCTGTTATTACTCACAGCTCTACCCATACATAGCAGCCACTCGTTTGGTTTATCTACTGGGCTGTGTGGGGTGCTATCACATAAAAAAGCCATGCCAGTGTATTTCCTCTATAATTTGGAGCGTTTAGGCCAGTAATGTCTTAGTCTTCAGTCTTTTGTCCTTTCCATAGCTAGACCCATTGCATGATTGTAATGTGTTGTTTTTTTCTCCTCACAGGTATAGCTCTCAGCGCCCTCCCCATGTACCTGGGCGAAATTACGCCACAAAATATCAGAGGTTTCATTGGCCAGTTCAACTCCATCCTGATCTGCTTGGGAGTGTTCATAGGACAAGTGCTTGGGCTGCCCGAGCTGCTGGGTCAGGTCAGTGTTGTTATAATACATACTTACATTACAGGTATTTTAAGGGGACATTTTGAACACTAGAGTTTAGATTCATGCTTAGTGCAATCATTTGTATTACTGGAGTTAGAAAAACCAAACTTGGACAACAAATTGGAGCCTGGATTGAGCACAGGAAAAGATTGTTGATTTACTGACTTTGTATGTCATTTGAAAAGTTAATGCTTTTTCTCTTGACGTTAAGTGAATGTGAGTTATTGACTTAACATTAGATGCTGACTTTAAAGCTACTACTAGTAAAATGTGAGTCCATTAGCTGCCAGATATCTGTTGTTGCCATTTGTCACTTGTTCCAGCTCACTTTGTAAAGAGAAGACAAACAAGAAACAGTAAAGGGAACATAATAAGATCTGTGATATATATCCAGATGCTTTTTTTCCTTTTAAATATTTTAAAAGAGATTTATTTTGTTTATTTCAGTTGGATTTGAAAATGAATAATGGAGTAAACTGGTGTCAGGAAACAGGTTATTTTTCCTCCAGATCCTGGTGTACCTTTGCCACTTTCTAGAAGATAAAAAACCCATATCCCCAGCCCAAACATTTTTCAACACATTGCAATGCTTAGTACTGCAATGATGTAAATTCCTTTCAACTGTGCCATAAAATATTTAGTGTGGAGTCTAATTTAAGGAGAGGACTACACTGTGGGTCACAGTTCATGGACCACTTTATTTATTCAACACAAATGCTCATTGTATTCAATAGCTCTAACACATAAATTTGGGTTTTGGGTAAATACAGTGAAAGATTCAAGCTCGAGCCCATGTAGATCCATCTCATTAATTCAGATGGAGTCAAAAGGAAATCTTTTTTTGCATCCAATGCCTGCTCTTGTGCACTTCCTTTCTTGCCGACTGATGGTTCGTGGAGGGCTGTGGGGTCATTGGTGTGTGTGTGCATGCAAGTGTGTGTGCAGGTATAAACTCTGTTATCCTAGCATAGCTAATATTACATGCTGTGAATAGTTATGCGGTGTATGGGCCACAGATGGACATATGTGGTGCCTGTTTGCCTCCTCACCCCCCCTGTGCTGGTTCTGTGCCCAGCCTTGTTCACCTACCTCTCCACATACTCTGATTTAACTCCGTTATTAGGTTTAAATGCCAAAATTTCCCCATCTGTCAGTGGAGCTGATGAGTGGCAGAGTTCTTTAACTCTACAGCAATAGTCCGGTGGATAAATTCATTTTGACTTGACATAAGAGCTTGAGTTCTTACCGGGGAGAAAAAGACTCCTCTGCTCAGACTTGATTTTCTCTCACTTTTCACTGGGCAAATGAATAGCGCAGGCTACCTGATGGCTACATCTCTTCCTCAGCCACTTGAGTAAAATACTCACGTTTTTACCCTTCACACTGTGTGATTGGTTCTGTCTGTCTCTTGTTTCAGTAAGATATCAGCAGGAATTCTCAATCACACCTTGTTTACCCTGGAGGAAATGTTATCCACTTTCCTCCCATATCACCTTAATGCCCACCGTACACAAGTTAAGCCATGTTGACTCAGCCTACTGCTGAGGCGTTTTCCTGACAGGGCTCCAGTATTCATCTATAATATGGATTATTAATGCTAGATTTTCAGTTTATCTTTTAGAGCTGGAAACAGACATTAGCCTACGGCACATTTGCCTTGAAAGCCAAATACACTTGTGTAATGTGAACGCTCCTGCCACATTCTGTTGACTTTAACTCACTGTTTACTGTTGGCACTGTGCTAAAAAATTAATGACCGAATGCATTTTCATCTAAATTGCTTCCCCAGATTTAAAGCACGCAGTTATATTTTTTGGCAGCTATGTCTGTTCAGAAAGTGTCAGAATCAGGATCTGTGGCATAAATGTGACTTATTATCTGAGGGTGACCTTGCATTCCTCGTTGCTGTTCTTCTAGGGTTAGCCCAAAACTGTATTGTGGTGGGAAGTTTGTTTTTGAGTGAGCATAATTTCATCATATTGATTGATGAATAAGTAAAGAGTTTGGAATCTTATTATCCCTGTTAAACTGAAGACGCTCTGTGCCAAACTGACAATAAAGGATATATACATAAAGAACTATGAATACTTGATATGACAATTAAAGTCAGTAACCTGAGATGTTTAGAGGGCTTTCAGTTGTCCTGTTTTTTAAAAAATTTTATTTATTTTATTTATCTATTTTATTTATCTATTTTATATTTGTATTTGCTCTGATCATAGTAATGTACAACTCAAGAAAAAAATATTTAAAAGGTCATTCACAATCAAAACAAAACTCTTATTTACACATTACATGATCGACAAGGAGCAGGGAGAGGAAAAATACAATTTGTCAACCCTTTCCTCAAAACAACAACCAACATTCACAAAACAAATCAAGAGCCATACATAATAATTTACCATTAACTAAGGAAATACAACACCTAACAACATGAAATAGTCTGTTCTTTCTTTAAACATTTTATTGAACTGATACACCCTTTAAATCATTCTGTAGAGTAATTCCACAGTTTGACGCCAACCACTGAATAATTATCACTTAGTCACCTTTTCAGCTGCTCTCCTATTTTTGGATTTTGCAACAATGGATCTAATTTCACTTTCACTCACTTCTCCAAGAAACATAACACTTTACTTCCCCCATTAAAGCCACCCTCTATTTTCCCATTGTTATGTTTTTAATAGTATTTGCAAGATTTGGCTCAACATTTACAACAAAGAAATATAATTAATTTACCATATCATTAATGTTTTTTACAATCTTATTATTGTCATTATTATTGTACTAATGACATGACTGGACACAGATTTCATTCCTGTTACATTGTTTAGAATTTAGAATTACCTTTATCATTTTTATTTTCTGTTACTGTTTTATTATAATATACTTTCTTGGCTTGTCTCATTGTATGTGTTCTATGTTCTTTGTTCTAAATTTGATGAAGTCGTGGAAAAGTTTGTTTTTCTAATGAAGTATAAGTTTAAAATAAATAAATAAGAAAATACTGACATATTGGACACATTTTGTGTTGCATTTTCTAGGGGTGTCACAATTTCAATTATAAATCTAAAATTGGATGTCCAAAGGAAAAAAATGCGTACATCAGTGGTGGTCTGTAGTGGCAATTTTCAACTTGACACCATGGCCACTGCCAGAGTCTCTGGTGTATCACAGTTCTTTGATTGACCCTTGCTGTCCACTGTCACAAAGGGTGTCTAACTAGTTCAGTGTGTCACCTTCCCTGCCTGCTTTTACTCTAATGCATCATGTCTGTCATCACACTTGATCGGAGAGAGATTCAATTGCGTCAAATTAGAGCCGGCCGATATGGGATTTTTAAGTCCTATACCGATTTCAATATTTAAGATTTATAAAATCCGATAGCTGCTATATCCGCCGATATAGTTTTTCCCCCTTATTATAAGAAATGCATGACATAAACAAAGATTATGCCTAAATTGTTATGTTGAGACAATACCAAGGTACCATGACATAATGCAGCATAAAAAGAAACTTTTTAATTGTAATCAATAGTACTTTGAACAAAAGTACAACAAAATTGATCAAGGTTTTGATGAATAAGAGTAAAATAAAACAAAACAAAACAAAAGGTAAAGTAAAGTAAATAGTGTATGTATTGTGGGGACCAGGAAAACAAACTGCTATTACTACTACGAATAATACCATATCTGATGTCATTGCTATAATAATAATGATAAACATTACACTTAATGCATTACTACATAGGCAAATAATTAGATATATATATATTTTTTTGTCATTCAATAGTTATTACCTTACATATAATCTGCCTCAATGAGTACTTTCTAAAACATATCGTCTATGGTACAATAACATAGAGGAAATGCTGCTGTTTAAATAATCTCATGAGGGACGGATCCGACTCTCTGTTTCTCTTTTTTAATAGTCATATATCGGCTGTTATAAACGCCGATCCAGATATATCTGCAAGTAGCTTATATCGGCTGACAATATCTACAAAACGATAAATCGGTCGAGCTCGTTTGAATAGCAAGCACCAGATAACAACCTTCTCAATGCTAGCACATGCTTGGTTTTTTAAGAGGTCTATCATGAAATTATTATTGTTGATGCTTCCAGTTTGACAAATCAATCACTGCTCACTGAAACACCCAATTCAGAATGGAAAACTGCCTCTTTCGCTCGTGAGGTTAATAGGGGAACACAAACTGGTTTGCTAACATCTTTTCTATTAGCATTTTGTTATAAAAATGAAATAAAAAAGTAAAGTAATACAAATAAAAACCTATTGAGTTAAGAATTTAGAATACCTTTGTAGTGAGTGGATCTGTTCTTCTGGACTTGTTAAATTCTTGAAGGTGCACCTGTTTACATTAACCACAGCAACAGCAGTTTCTGCATACCTACTGAGACAAGACAGCATGGGACTGTACAGCATCTGCATAAGTCTGTGTCATTGTTTGCATATGATTACATACTTCAAAGCCGCAAACAACTAGACTGCATCTACATACAGTTTTGTTTGGGGCTTGCACTTGCCGTGATGGATGTGCATAACACAGAATTGCACATTTCCAGCAGTGCATTTTCTTTCATTCCAACAATGATGCTTAAGAGCAACAAACATATTTCTAAGCAGGTGGGGTTTTTTGGATGAAGCTCCTTTTCACATAATTTCTAAGGGCCCATGTCTATACTGCATGAAGGCTTGAGTATTGTTTTGATGAATTGTTTTTCTGTCAGCTTCTCCATTTATTTTCCACAAAAGAAAAATATTATGCGCTTCTATGCCAAGTTTCTTGTTTTGGATTAAAAATGACTGACACCTTTTCAGCCACTGTCCAAACCAAATGTGTTTCCTAAATCAATGAGTATTTTCACTTTCAAATAAAGTGAAGAAAGAAATCAATTCTGGTGTATGTCTTGAACTGTGGATCCCCCTGGTCTTGGTTTCATTTTTTCAAGTTCTCCTCTCCTATTTT